ATTTTGGCAATACATGAGAAAATGTATTTTAAAGGTACATATTTTCTGTAGAATAATGATTTTGCAAATCACTTTGGGGATCTTAAAGAGAGGGGTTTTAAAGCTGGGACTTCTCTTTGTTTACAATTATAGTGTATACCAAAAGTTAATTATTATATTACTTACAAGTCTTATGCACATATCATTTGTTACATAGAATATCTCTTCATTAAAATGTTAAGGGAGACTTCTTTCCAATAAAAGTAATTTTCGTTTATTTGTTTTTACTAGATAGCCATTAGGTCCCAGTGTGGCTACATGCATTTTCTCGTTGTCCTTTCAAACCAAGATTCTGTTGATTATTATACTCATCGAGGAGCTGTAGACCTCTCCTTTGCTGAGGGCTGGCATCTGTTCAGATTTACCAGAGAAGATCTGCAGGCTATAGCAGGGGAAGAATGAAAGAAGCCGTACAACATCTTATCTGAACATAGGCTTCCACGTTTGAATGTCACCTAACAGCAGTCTGATGCTGAATAGTGTAAAATACAGCAAGTAATCATAATAATCTTGTAGATATTTCATTCTGAAGCACATTTTGCAGATAGTTAATTAACCATTATACAAATGAATATTCTAATGGCTAGTAACAAATGTGGATAAGCTCAGTTGTAGGTAATTCAAAAATCACTTATACTAAGCCGGGCGCTGGTGGCTCACGCCTGTAATCCTAGCTACTCAGGAGGCTGAGATCTGAGGATCGCGGTTCAAACCAGCCTGGGCAGGAGAGACCGTGAGACTCCTATTTCCAATAAACCACCAGAAAACTGGAAGTGGCGCTGTAGCTCAAGTGGTAGAGCGCTGGCCTTGAGCTAAAGAGCTGAGGGACAGCACTCAGGCCCAGAGTTCAAGCCCCACGACCGACAAAAAAAAAAAAAATCACTTATACTTTTCTTTGGGCTAATTTTTTTATCTATATTTCACCAAATTTAGGACATTGATTTTTTTCACATTTTAAAACATTAAAAAAAAGACATTGTAAAGATTTTTGCATGTACATAGGGAAGATTCCACATATAGCTCTGTTGTATGTTTTTCTCCTTCCCAGTAGATAGTGAGTCTCTTGTAGAAATATAATTATTTTGGTATTTTATATCCAGCTGCAACTGGTATCATAGAATATGTGAATTCCTGCTATGTACATGGATTTCACAGGCAAAGAGTATGCTTCAGCTATACTCACATGACTCTGAGAAATACTAATTGTGTGGATAATTTCATCTATATATGCTACATGCAAGGGGGTATAGAACACCTAATTCTACTTTGGAAAATTAAGAATTGACACTAGAATTGGATTTGAAGGATGGGTAGGAAATTATTTTGTGGTATACAAGACAAACATTTTAAGAGGAAACAGCAGAGGCAGAGAACAAGAGGCATAACGAGGAATGCATGTTTTCTAAGCAAATGCTATGTCATAAGTATAACATACCTTGGCAGTGGGTTGTGTAAGAATGAAGATAAGATTAGATAGTAATCTTAGATCAGACAAAAAGGGCCTTGTGTCTGGCTAAGGAGCTTGAACTTGACTCCACAGTCAATGCTGAGCTACTGAAGAATTTAGAAAGATGGCTAATTATTGATAGATAATTGTCTTGACAGATAGGCTAGAAGACTTAAGTAGCAGAAACTGTATGTTAGATCAAACTCAACATCCATGTCCAAATCCCTTAGTACTTTCCTTTTTTACCAAGGAATTTCCATGTATTTAGCTCTCTTGAGCTAAGTATGTGGCCATCTGAATTCTGATTTAGATATACAGAGAATTCTGAGCAATTTTAAGACAACCTCTCTCTCTCTCTCTCTCTCTCTCTCTCTCTCTCACACGCACACACACACACACACACACACACACACACACACACACATCTGTACTTGGACTTGAACTCCAGGCAAACACTCCTTTAGCTTTTCTGTTCAAGGCTGTCACTACCATTTGAACCACACCTCCATTTCCTGCCTTTTGTTGGTTAATTGGAGGTAAGTGTCTGAACAGATTTTTCTGCCTGTGCTAGTGTTTAAAAATTGTTTTATTATTATTATTATAAAGGTGATATACAGAGAAGTTAGTTACATAAGTCAAGTAATGAGTGCATTTCTTTTTGGACAATGTCATTCCTTCCCTTGCTCTCTCCCAGTTTTTTCCCTCCCAGCCCCACCCACAAGTTGTAAAATTCATTTTCAACATAGTGTCTAGTGAGTACTATTGCTGCATTTATTCATCTTTTGTCTGAGTTAGTTTTAAACTGTGATCTTCAGATCTTAGACTCCTGAATAGCTAGGACTGCAAGTATAAAGTTACTCGTGCCTGAAGAAAACAGTAACTTTTCTGAAAAAAAGTCAGAAATGCAGTGACTTGCATCTGTAGTACTACCCACTTTCAGGCTGAGATTTTGAGGGCTGCATTTCGATGCCAGTAAAGGCCAAAATTTCAAGAGACCCCCACTTCTCAACCAATAACTGGGTTTCAATAGTGTGCATCTGTAATCCCAGCTATAGAGGAGTTTGGGATCAAGAGGATAGTAGTTCTAGACCAGTTTGGACAACAATGTCCATGAGATTCCCATTCAATAGAATAAGCAGGGCATGGTGGTGCACAATTGTCATCTCAGGTAGGACAGCATAGCAACAAGCTGGAAGGATATCTCAACAGTAGCAAGCAGGTCAAAAAAAGTCAGAAGCATCATTTTCATATTTTTATATATTTGCACATCTGCTTTGCCCTTTCTTTCAATATGTAGGTGCTCTTGTAAGATACAGCAGCAATCTTGTGACCAGATGAGAATGCAGCATGCTATGGACATTAGAGTGGGATGTGAAAAGTCCAGACTCTTGGTGGCACTAGGAACCACTGCACAAACCCTCTCTTACCTAACACCAGGCTTTGAATCCATCTTTGTTTAAGATACTCTTAGCTGATTCACTTGCAAACAGAGCACATTCTGAAGGAAGATAGAAAAATGTTAGTTGTGAGAATAGCCAGGAAGTGACTGTGAATCCAGGAATGTGTCAATGAATGCTTGAACAAGAGGTATAAGAGCACTAGAGAAAGCAGAAATAATTTGAGAAATAAGAAATGAAGCCGGGCACTGGTGGCTCATGGCTGTAATCCTAGCTATTCAGGAAACCAAGATCTGAGGATCACTGTTTGAAGCCAGTGTGGGCAGGAAAGTCTGTGAGACTCTTATCTCCAATAAATGACTCAGAAAAGGCCAGAAGTGGAGCTGGGGCTCAAATGGTAGAGCACTAGCTTTGAACACAAAGAGGCTCAGTGACAATGCACAGGCCCCTGAGTTTAATCCCCAAAGTCTGGCAAAAAAAAGAAAGAAACAAAAAGAAATGAGAGGGACCAGATGGAGAGTGTCACTAAAAAAATATTTACTGTTTAAACTAAAAAATTAAAAAAGAAATGAGAGGGAGGCTGACATCACTTAATTTTAGACATATTGATATTAGGATAGTGAAAGGATATTAGGTAGATTTAGCTAATAATTAGATATCTAAGTTGGTCTACAGTACAGGAGAAATGTGGATATTAAAATATTACTAGTAGTGACATTAAAGTTGATTGAAAATCAGAGTATATATATGATGAAAAATAAACAAGGATTGAAGTTGAGGAACCTCCATATATAAGGGCTTCAAGAGCAAGAGATGAATGGAGAATGACAAGACAAAACAACAGAGAGCAAAAGGAGGGGTGAGTTTCAAGGAGGTAGTGAGAGTCAATAATTATCTTAAAAAATTTATGTGTGTAGGCCAGGATGTTGCAAATTACAGAAAAATTGAAAGCAAGGAAGAGAGGGATATTACTTTTTTTGTCAGTTGTGGGGCTTAAATTCAGAGCCTGAGTGCTATCCCAGAGCCTTTTTGCTCAAGCCTAGGGCTCTACCATTTTGAGCCACAGTGTTACTTCTGGTATTTTGGTGGTTAATTGGAGATGAGCCTCACAGACTTTCCTGCCTGAACTGGCTTTGAACAGCAATCCTCAGATCTCAGCCTCCTAAGCAGGTAGGATTACAGGCCTGAGTCACTGCTGCCTGGCTGGGAAATTACTTTTTACAGATGTATAGAAATCATAGGAAGATGCAGGGTATAGTGTCAAGTATAGTGACAACAGGGGATATACCATAGGGGAAAGAACATACAAAGGAAACAAAAATCACATAGTTCATTAAAAACAACAGCAAAAGACCTCGTGTCCATATCTTGGGGTTCATTTCACTTAGCATCATCTTATATGGTCATATGTACATATTTGGGAAGGGGAAGAGGAGTAACAAAATGCTGAAACAAGGACACAGAATGGACCCATTGCAACAATGAGACTCACAAGACAGTATGTTGGAAATGAACTTATAACTTTGGGGCAGGGAGGGAGAAGTGATGGAGGTGGGGGAGAGAAGGGATAGTGGGAGAACAAAGGAGGGGTTAACAATGCTCAACAAGAAATGTAATCATTACCTTACTCATGTAACTGTAACCCCTCTGTACAGCATCTTTATAATAAAATAAAATAAGGAAACCATAGGAAGATGCTCAAGAGAAAAGACACCTTGAAGGAAGAGGTAGTTTTGTCTTGATATTGTTGCTTTTGGACATAGGAAAGCTGAAGCTATTTAGAAGTTGAGGAAAAGAAATGAGTGAAAAAAGCAAAGACAGTAAAGATGAAATACAGTTCTGAAAAAAAAAAAAAAACATGGGAATGAATGAGATCAGGAGCATATTATGAAGCACTACTCTCAGGAAATGGAAATGTAACACTAAGTCTAGAAGATGAAAAGTATTTGGCAATGGTTATGTCTAGTAATTATATTTTTCTACTCTATAAAGTAGGAAGGCCAGTGAACTTTGACAGGTATGAAAGGCTTACAGGAGTTATGTAATATATAGTTCTTTTAAATACAAACATTTTAAATATTTAAGAGGAGTCAAAATTAGTAAAAGCCAAACTCACATGCCATAAAATATGGGTATTTTATTGCAGCTAAGAGAAATGAAAACATCAACAACAACAAAACAGAGAACACACCCATCTTTCTATACACCATTCTAATCCAACTGACATTTGGAAACCCGAAGCAGATACATATGTATAGATGCACATACATATTTTCAGATTTTAGTCTCATTGATGTTCACATCTTCATTCTCGTTTGTTTTTTAGTAAATTCCCTTACAAGTCATCAAATACATCATACTATTTCTACTTCTGCTGTGTCATCAATCCTTTCATATTGTTGGATTGAATTCACAATTTGTGTTTTCATCACTTACTTGACTGTGCATTTGAAGAGGTTAGGGAATCACTTCAAGGCACAGTCTAAGTATCAGTTGCCCAGTACATGATTTTTTTAAACCATCATTTACAACTTCATACATATTGCGGTTCTCTATGCTGTCTCTCTGTGCAGTCTATTTCAGCTTCTAGTGCTGTACATATCTACATCTTCTGGATGGGACTGTCCATGATCCATAAGCTTTGGGTCAGATATAAACTGTTTAGTACCTGAAAAATAATTAAAAACAAACAAGTCATTTAGCAAACTTAGTTTGGTACAGAGGACTTATCAATGAAATAAGTGATCATTTCTGTTGACAAGGACCTAATATGGGTGAAACACACAATATCTTAATATATATCAGATAATGTATATACAATGATATATATATATATATATATATATATATGAATGATATATTTAATGTGTATGTGTGTGTGTATAAAGCAGGCAGGTACATATGGAATTGTTTAAGTGACTTATAGTTTTACACAAGATGGCCAGGAAAGTCTTCTGCAAAAGTGCTATGTAAGCAAAGAACTGAAGGTGTTGAGGGGTATGTGTCCCATTGGTATGTGTGGCTAATGGCTTCCAGGATGAGCATACATCAATTGAAATGGACCCAGGGCATACCTGAAAAACTAATGTGGCTCAACAAAGCAGATAAGATGATGGGGAACAATGAGTGACATATGATCAGACTAGGTCAAAAGCCATCATTTTTATTTAAGATGAGAAGCTACCAGACAATTTTGAGTAGAGAAGCGACAGGTTGTTTTATAAGATCATTCTTGCTGCTGGGCATTGGTGGCTCATGCCTGTAATCCTAGCTACTGCTGGAATCCAGCCATCACTTTGGGCAGCAAAGTCCATGAGTGGTTAATCTCCAATTAAGTACTAAAAAGCTAGAAGTGGAGTTGTGGCTCAAGTGGTAGAGTGCTAGCCTTGAGTACAAAACCTCAGGGAACTGCACCAGAAAGAAAGAAAGAAAGAGAGAGAGAGAAAGAAAGGAAAGAAAAGAAAGAAAAAAAGGAAAGAAAGAAAAGAAGAAAAGAAAGGAAAGGAAGGAAGGAAGGAAGGAAGGAAGGAAGGAAGGAAGGAAGGAAGGAAGGAAGGAAGGAGGAAGGAAAAAGAAAGAAAGAAAGAAAGGAAAAGAAGGAGAGAGGGAGGGAAGGAGGGAGGGAGGGAGGAAGGAAGGAGGGAAGGAAGGAAGGAAGGAAGGAAGGAAGGAAGGAAGGAAGGAAGGAAGGAAGGAAGGAAGGAAGGAAGGAAGGAAGGAGCACTCTTGGTTATGGAGAAAAGATACTGCAGGGAAGTAAGGGTGGAAGCAGACATTCCAGTGAAGAAGCAGTTGCAATATTCCAGGAGAGATGCTAAGGGCTTTAATTTGGGTGACAGCTGTAGTGGGGGTGACAAAAAAGGATTAGACCTTATAATTTTGAAGGTAGAATGGACAAGATTTCCTAAATGGATTGAGTATATTGTGAAAATATGTTGTGAAAAGGAAACTAACCCCAAATCTGAAACAATGGAGCTGGTATTTACTGAGATAGGACAAAATGTTAAAGAAGCAATTTTGTGGAAATGCAGATGTTAAATTTCAGATGTCTTTCCATTTCCTAACAAATGGGGCGATGTCATTCTTTCTGATGGAGGCATAGAATTCCATTGTGTATATATACCACATTTTCTTGATCCATTCATCTGCTGAGGGGCATCTAGGTTGGTTCCATATCTTAGCTATGGAAAATAATGATGCAATGAACATAGTTGTGCTAGTAGCTTTAGTATGGTCTTGTTTGTGATCATTTGGGTAAATGCCCCAAAGTGGGATTGTTGGGTCATAGGGGAGCTCTATGTGGAGTCTTTTGAGGAACCTCCATACTACTTTACAAAGTGGTTGAAGAAGTTCACACTCCCACCAGCAATGCAGTAGGGTTCCTTTCTGGCCACATCCCCTCCAGCATCTGTTGTGTAAGTCAGGCCCAAAGAAGCATAGGTCCCATGGTTTCCCTTATTTGAAAGGTCAGATAAGATGATGTTAAGCGAAATGAACCCCCAAATAGGGACACAAGTGGTTTTTTCTTTCTTGTTATTGTTTCTAATGTATTTCTAAGGTATCATGTGATTTTTTTGTTGCTTTGTGTGTCCCTCCCCCACAGTATAAGCCCTGTTTTCACTGTATTTGATGTTGGTATCATTTGGGGATGGGAAGGGAAAAAATGTTTAAATAGGGATACAGGTGGACCCCTTGCAACAATGAGATGTACAAGACACTATGTTCAAAAACGAACTTTACAATTTAGGTGGGAGGGTGGGGGTGGGGGAAGGGGTGAGTGTAGTTGAGGAGGTGGGAGGGAAGGGATGGTAGGGGAAAAAACAAAAGAGGAGGCAACAATGCTTAATAAAAAATGTACTTCTTACCTTGCTCATGTAACTGTAACCCCTCTGTACAGTATTTTTACAATAAAAAACTTATTTAAAAAAATTTCAGATATGTTAAATTTGAATTGCTTGCTAAACATCTGCATATCAATACTGAGTAAGTAGCTAGCAATGTGAGTATAGTGTTCAGAAGAGGTATTGACTGGTTTATAAATTTTATATTCCTAGACTAATATATAGATAACATTTAAAACTATGGGACTATAGGAGACTGACTACAATCAAGGGATTACTTCAAGGAGTAGGGAGTTAAATCTGTATTAGTGATGGATTTCATGAGAACTGCTTCATGGATTTAGCAATGTGTTTATCAATGGTGAAACTGATCCAATGATTATATGTACTCAGAATGCTATTTTCATGCATTATTTCACACATGACCTAAACATTATTTTTATACAGTCACATATGCAGTAATAATATACTGGTCAATGACATACAGCAGATACAAAGTCAGTCCCATAATATTATAACTGAGCTAAAATATTTGTAGCACCTAGTGATGTCACATGCAACTCCAATACATTTCACATTTGGAGTGATGCTGATGTAAACAAAACTACCCTCTGGCAATCAAAAGTATAGCCATATATAATTCTGTATGGTAAATAGTACTTGATAATGATGATAAATGCTGTTACTGAATTACATGTATAAAATACTATGTTTTAATGATTATATCAAACTTTACTCCTGCTAGTTATAAAATGCTTACTATATCAGTATGTTATTTGATGCCAGCTGCAGCTTTAAATACTTTGCTTTCACCATGTCTCCTGATTGTAGTAAGTAGCCATACTGAATCCTGACCTAACCATTTAAGTTTGTCTAAGTACACTGTGATGTTGGCACAATGGTGAAATCATCTAATGACACATTTCTCAAAATGCATCCTTGTTCTTAAGCATTGTGTGACTATGTTATAGTTATTACCCAAATAAGAAATTTTAATTCAGAGAGTAACTTGACCAGTGTCATTCAGCTGCTAAGAGGCAGAGTCAGGACTGAAGCCAAGTTCATATAAACCCAACACAACAACCCTGGCACTTCTGAAAATAGGAGTTATAGTAACAATCTCATATATTTTTTAGTATTAAAGATAATGGATGCCTAGTGGTACATACTGTGTGCATGGTGAGTGGGAATGAGATCACTTTTTTTTCTGTGCTGTACCTGGGTACCATGCCTGTGTAGAATCTGGGCACTTTCTCTGAGCTTTTTTTTTGCTCAAGGCTAGCACTCTACCACTCTACCACAGCGCCACTTCCGACATTTTGGTAGTTAACTGGAGATAAGAGTCTCGTGGAATTTCCTGTCCAGTCTGGCTTTGAACTGCAACCCTTAGATCTTATCTTTCTGAGTAAGCTAGGATTACAGGTGTGAGTCACTGGCACCCAGTGAGATAACTATTTTTTATATTTGCTTTATAATATAATAGTAAAAGTATTTCTTCTGAAGTTAAAAAAATTTTAATATGCTTTTTTTCCCCAATGTGACTAATGTGTAAATGATTTCTTACATTTCTGAGCCATACTTTTCCCTAAGGAATGGTTCATTTTCAGTTATTTCTTTTTGTTTATTTCTTTCTTAGGACTTCACATTTGCCATGCAGCCACTCTTCCAGTTGAACCATGCTTCTAGCCCTGTTTTTGCCCTTTTTTGGTGTGTGCTGATTCTGGGGCATGAACCTAGGGCTTAGATGCTGTCCTTTAGATTTTTTGCTCATGGGTGGCACTCTACCACTTGTGCCACAGCTTTTTGGTGGTTATTTGGAGATTAGTCTCATGGATTTTCCTACCAGGGCTGGTTTCAAATTGTGATCCTCAGATTTTAGCCACTAGGATTATACTCATGATCCACTGGTGCCAGGCTCCTTGGTTATTTTTAAGGTAGGATTTTGCTTTATGTCTGGTCAGCCTAGGCTAAGATTCTTCTACTTGTGGATGACATGTGCCACCACCAAACCTCGCCAGTGGTTGATATGGAGTGTCACAAACTTCTTTGTGCTCAGGCTAGCCTCAAAACATGATTACAGGGGACCATAGTTACCAACTTTTCACATTTTATTAAAAAAATGAGGGAGAAAAATTATAGTAGAATGCTTTATCTTATACCTGTTTTTACTTTAACTTTATGTCATTTTTTAAAATATCCCTTTTGTACATGGTGGTAGTGGGGCTTGAACTCAGGGCTGTGAGCTCCTCTTGGCTTTTTGGTTCAAAGTTGTGCTCTACCACCAACAGCTATACTTTCAGTTCCTATGAATATCTTTTTTAGAGACATTTTAGATTCCATAAACTGTGATATACTTATAAGTAACATGAGTAAACATTAAAAATACAACCAGGTCATAAGTGTTCATTACTCATAACAGCACTGTCGTTCTCCATAGATTAGGAATTCTTAACCTCAGGTGCATTTGATGGTCTATTTTGGACCAAGATATCCTTTAACTGGGATGGGGATATTTTTTTGATAGTTAAAAAATGATTATATATTATTTTCTTTAAGTAGTGCATCTAGAGGATGAGGAAATATGTCTTCATCTTCACTAATCTGAACATAGGCATTTTATTCAGTAACAAATATAGGCAACAAAACCAAGCAGTTTTATAAGTACCTTACATTTTACATCACAAAGGAAACACACATATATTTTAAAATTGCATTATGGTTACTACCTTATACTATGTAAAATTACTGTTACATGAAAAATAGTATTAAATTCTATTATTACATATTATTGCTTTCTACATTTAAAGATAACCAAGGTAATCATATATTACTATGTGCTTTTTTCATTTGAAAACTACTCTGTGAAGGGGTCTTATTACAAAAAGCTTAAGAGTCCGCCATTACTTTCGCTCTCATCATGTTTTCTCAAATGCATTTCAAATGCCTCCTGCCGGAAGTAATTGCTTAGTAGAAGTGAAAAGTTTGCTTTCATCTCCAGATGTGATAATTTTATGTATCCTTTTTTGTTTTTTTCTCTGTCGGTCCTGGGGCTGAACTCTGAGCCTTGGCACTGTCCCTCAGCATTTCAGCTCAAGGCTAGCACTCTACCACTTGAGCCATAGTGCCACTTCCAGCTTTTTCTGCTTATGTGGTACTGAGGAATTGAACCCAGGGCCTCATGCATGCAAGGCAAGCACTCCACCACTGAGCTACCTTCCCAGCTCCTATGTGTCTTTATATATCAACAGTTTTTAGTGTAATAAATTTGCTAAGTTCTCTACTGCTTCTGTTTACTTCCTCAATTTATATTCTTGTCCAGAATCTGGCCAAAGATTCCATTCATTTGAATTTCCTGGATTGCAAAGGTCTTTTGCCATTAGAACTCCATTCCTCAAAATTCCTGAAAAGATTTCAAGATTTTAATTTATCCACCCGTATGTAAGATACTACTAATTAGAGAAATAATTCCCTGGAGAAATTTTCCTAAAAGAAATGTTTATAAGCCTCATCTCTGGAATTTATATTTATAATTTTTAGGTAGAGTATAGGGTTATTTTGGAAAAAAAACTCTCAAGTAATTGTAGTTCACTCTGATTTAGATTAATTGGCCTAGGACATACAATTTCTATCTTTGAAAAGCATTATCTCGGTGGGGGGGGAAACTGGGGGGGGTGAGAAAATGGGAGAAAAACAAGGGAGGAGTTAACAATGTTCCACAAGATATATATTCATTACCTTATGTATATAACTGTAACCCCTCTGTACCTCACCTTGGCAAAATTTAAAAAAAATATAAAAAGAAAAGCATCATTTCATGCTCATCAAAGTAATTAAGGATTGTACTTTCTGTTAAATATTTTCAACAGGGAAATATTTTCTTGAATTTCAATGCTCTAGGCATTATGATGCTTCCCTTTGCCTTTTTTATCATGATGCTTCCCTTTGCCTTTTTTATTTATCATGACGCTTCTCTTTGCCTTTTTTTTTTATCATGTTTCTGATCTTTGATAAGAGTTTTGTGTTAAACTCTTTTTAGGGAACTTTTTTTTGCTCAATAGCTGGAACTCTAAGACTGTTGCCAAAGATATACTTCCAGCTTTTTAGTGGTTAAGTGGAGTTAAGAGTCTCATGGACTTCCCTGCTGGGGCTGGCTTCAAATCTCAGGTTTCTCCTAGAATTACAGGCATGATGCACCAGTACCCAGATTTTTAGCAGATTTTTTTTTAAAGGTGGTGTTATCATACAGAGAAAAAGAATAAAGATGTGTAAAATTATAAGATGATAATGATTTATTATTTCAATAGCTTTTAAATAAAAACTATTAACAGTTTTCTAATTTTTTGTTATTATAAAGGTGATGGACAGAGGGGTTAAAGTTATATGTTAGTTAAAGAGTACATCTCTTTTTGGACAATGTCACCATTCCCTCAATCTCTCTGTTTTCCCCCTCCAGCACAGTTTTGTGCTAGTTAACTGGAGATGGGATTCTTGAGGATTTTTTTTTTTGCCTGGGCTAGCTTCGGACCATGAGCTGTATTCTCATTTTCCTGAGCTGAATTAGCTATACAAATGTGAGCTACTAGCATCCAGCATCTTCCTTTCCCTTTTCTCTTTAAAGAAGAGAGAAACACTTACCATCTCAATCTAGTTAAGGCATTGATCTGAGTTTGGATGAGTTATAGCTTTAGTGAGTCAGTCATTAATCCTCTGGTTCCTTCCTGTTTTTTAGGTATGGCACTCCCAAGTTTCTGATTGACAAGTTGATAAGTTTCCTTCTCCTTAGCACTAAAATTTGGTTTTACCCTACAGAGGTTTTGGATCTTGTATTTGGTGGTGTGTGTGTGTGTGTGTGTGTGTGTGTGTGTGTGTGTGTGTGTGTGTGTGTGTGTGTGTGTGTGTGTGTGTGTGTGTGTGTGTGTGTGTGTGTGTGTGTGTGTGTGTGTGTGTGTGTGTGTGTGTGTGTGTGTGTGTGTGTGTAAGTGCGGGCACCAGTCCTGGGGCTTCAGGGCCTGGGAACTGTTCCTTAGCTTTTCACTCAAGGCTAGCAGTCTATCATTTGAGCCACACCTCCACATCTGGCTTTTTGGTAGATAGATATTAGGTAGGCATTATTTTGGTCCCAAGATACTCACCAAGATACTCTAGAATGAATAAGCACTTAGAAAACAGTCTAGATCCTTTGTATCCTTTGGGACTATGGTCAACCGTAGTTTATTACCTGTGCAACTTGTCATAATTAGCAAGGAAAACCAACAGAAGAAAGTAGCAAAACAAATCAGGCTTGCTATTTGGTGAATTTATTCATTATTATTAATATATTTGTTTGCTTTTTAGTGTTTTAGGGACAGGATCTTGCTGTGTAGCCAAAGCTACCTTCAAATTCACTCTCCTTAAATTTACTATTGAATAGTTCCCCAACTGCTAGAATTATAGGTCTGTGCCACCAAGGTGCACCCACGCGATAGTTTTTAAATAAGAGAGGAGAATCTTGAAACAGACTAAATACTGGCTTAAAATTAGGAAATCTATGAGTAATGGAAAAATTTGTACTTTAGTATCAGGAAGCCCTAAGCTAAGTTGTATGATTGGGAACAAAGTTATTAAGCTCCTTGTCAGTGCTTTCATCTTAAAATAAGAGGTACTGATATCTCAGAGTTTTTAATTGTTTGGCATTGTGGGTAAAGACTGAATGACAATAGACTTACAGCACTGGGACATAGTCCATGCTTGAGAAAGGGTAGAGAATATTATTGTTCCTATTTTTCTGTCCTGTTAGTTGGTCCTATGTACAGTGTTCATATTAGCAAACCAGGGACTGGTAGGTTCATGTGAATATATGGTTGAAACGGTATTCAACATTCTGCTACATTCTTTTTGATCATAGTACAAATCATTGTAGTATTTTCTTAGAAACTATAACTGCCACTATTTGGTTTCACAAAGTATTAATTACCAATATTGAGTATTATTAATGATAAATAGAATTATTGTTATTTCGATTTGATACTGAAATTTCTCTTGGTACCTAATGTTAGTAAAACTATGGATGGTGGAAACTTAGACTGACAAGTAAACTGACATGTAAATAGCAAGAGAAATGGAAGCTGATATGTATTTATGTCATTGTGATTCATACCTGCAAAAATTGATAAACTCTAGAAAGGCACATTTTTCTCCTAATAAAATAGTTCCCATTTATAAAGTGCTATTAAATGCTTCATTCAATCAACCTGTCAGTTCTCCTCTCTGCCCTCATACAGAAAGATCTGTGTTATGAATATGTGGTAGTTATAAAAATTCTAGATCTAAAGTCATAATCTAAAAAGAAATAAAGTACACATATAACTAAGAGAATACATTTATAAAGAAAACACATATTCAAACTTCCAACTATAATGCTATAAAAATAGCTAATAAAAAATGAAATTGAATAATTCCAAACAAACCTGAGGTGAATGTTGATTTGGTCTTTGTTTTAGAGTAGAGTTCTTTTGGTAAAGGCACTGAATGATTCAGGACTTGAGTTGTTTTTGCAGGCATTTCTGTTTCATTGGGACTTCCTAGCTGTTTACAAAAAAAGATGTTTTTATTTAGAAGTTAAACCATTTTATTTATAAGACAATAGAATATACTAAAATGATATTGTGCCAAAGTATTGCTATCATACTCATTTACTTTCATTTTCTTCTTTGGTATCTGAGTAGTAATACCATTACAGGCCTAACAGGAGCCAGACAAAATTCAATGTCTACTTTTCTTGTCCATTTAAACTCTACCTTAGTTTTTTCTTTAGGTTCAGAGAGTGATTCATTTTTGTTGCTTGTTGCCCACAACGATTTAACAGCTCCATAAATGTACTGGCTGGTAGCATATGCTTTCTTCCCTGTAATCTAATTCAAACAAAAAGTGAGTCAGATATGCATTTTAAAGATAAAATAAAAAGATTTAAAAAATTCCTATCAGGTATTTTATATGAACATTTAGATCACAATCAATAATAAAAATATAAAGGTCTAGATAAAGTATAAGTAGGAAACCTTCAGTGTTCATAAATGAGGGAAGAAGGAAATGAGGAAAAACTTGGGTGCTCCAAAGCTGTCTGTTCTGATCATGAACATGGGCTAAAAATAAAACTGGAACTGAGTAAGTGGCTCATTGGTACAATACTCAACACTTGCCTAGTGTGAGGACCAGAGTTTAATGATTAGCATTGTAAAAAAACAAATAAACAAACAAACTGAAACTCTTCAAATCTTAGAGAGCCTTTAGATTTGTAAGTAAGATCACCAGAAAATGACAAAAAAAACCTATGATAGACATTTAAGGAAGGTGTTTCTTTGTTCCAGGTGGTTTCGAAACAGTCTGTCCATGTGTGTATATGTTCTTAATCTCAAAACCCTCTGTAATCTATCATTTGGCTGCTCCTGGAATTATGTTAATCTCAGCTGAAGAGCTCCCAGTCGATGTAATTTTCTATTAATTAAAAGTTGAATTTTATACAGCCCAACAATGCAGTGCTATTTCTCCCCATATATTCTAATTCACTATCTCTGAACTTAAATCCTAAAGCCTGCTCTTATATTGTTCAATTGTATTTAAATAAATTCATTTTATTTGTTATGATCATGTAATTAAGAATGGTATTTACCATGCTGAGTTGCTAATATGATTTTGCCAGCAGAAGAATTGATATGCTGGGATGGGGAGGGATTGGAGAATGATGATCAATCAAAATGCATTGTATTTATGAATGGTAATTCCTTTTACAACTACTTAAAAGTATTGATATTGAACATATGTATCTGAAAATTAAATGTTGAAGGTGCTGTGTTATATTTAAATATTGTACCACTGAGAGTTTAAACAGATGCTACATTTTCTATCACATTAAAGAACTTACCTTTGCAATTATTACTGACTGAGCTGGGTAGCAAACAGTTGCTCCTAATGTAGCCAGTCCTAGTGGATAGGCAATTTTCTTAAACCTAGAACCTAAGAAATGCAAACAAATTACCCAACTCTAAATACATGCCACCAACCTGAGCCTTGATGCTCTTATTCTTTCCTTTCCTTTAAGATGTCACCCTGTGTTAAATTACTCTTTAGATAATAATACCAATTAACATGGTACCTAAAATACCTCCAAGGCTCTCAATTCAATTAATAGCTCTTAGCTATCAGGTCTAATGTCAGAAAAATGTTCTCAATTTAATATTATCTACACAAAAGGAATTGACTTTTCTTCTTTTTTTTTTTTTTTAAAAAAAAAGCTAGGTATTTTCATTTCCCAAGAAACTTAAAGTTTTAACATATTTTTTCAAATATCTAACAAAGCAAGATATTAAAGAATTAATTGACCACTGTGCTTGTGACACCATGTTTTTAAAGGGAAATGGACTGTTTTATATGTTCTTAGATTAAGTACTTAGGAAGGTGAAAGAACTAAATGACTATTGAGCATATAACTCCTTCATGTCAGTGATTTGGAACACTAAAGTAATATTTAAAGCAATTTGACATAATTAATGCACTGCAAAAGTGCTTAACTAAGCACCTGACAGTCATTCAACACATTTTTATACAAAACTTTTCCTAAAAAATATTTGCAAATTTCTTTGAATTAACCCTAGGTGCAGGAAGAAAAATATCACATCCTCTCTGTATGCCTTTTCCCTCATCCCCATACCACTCATAAATATGTCCCTGAACCCTAGAAAGTTCTGTAGAATAGCTGGAAATCCACCACTAAAACTCAGTTCCACCAGACATGTTTTAAAATGATACGTCTCCTAAATGCTTTCTGGTTATCTTGGATACTGTAAATATGACTAGGTAATTAGATGATGGGTTTTTAAACTGGTGCAAGTACTATGTTTTCTCAGATGACTTTTGCAAACTCTACTTTAAAAAATTGCCATTAGGTGCTGGTGGCTCTTGCTTGTAGTCTTTGATACTCATGAGGCAGAGATCTGAGGATAGCAGTTCAAAGCCAGCCCAGGCAGGAAAGTCCGTGAGACTCTTATCTCCAATTAACCACCTAAAAAGGCTGGAAGTAGAGGTGTTAAACAAGTGGTAGAGTGCTGGACTTGAGCCAAAAAGCTCACAGAGAGTACCCAGGCAGGAACTGAGTTCAAACCCCAGGGCTAGCACCAAAAAAAAAAAATGAAAGAAAGTAAGAAAGAAAGTAAGAAAGAAAGAAAGAAAGAAAGAAAGGAAGGAAGGAAGGAAGGAAGGAAGGAAGGAAGGAAGGAAAGAAAAAAAGAAAGAAAGGAAAGAAGGAAGGAAGGAAGGGAAAGAAAAAGAGAAAGAAAATTGCCTATGTGGCATATCAATAAAGACTAAGGTGAAAAAAATAACTGGTAATGTCTTCTGGTAACTGCAGTTTAGGGAAACCTATAAACCAGAGATATTTTATTATCTGGCTTAACCATTATCAAGGAAGTCTTTTTTTTTTTTTTTTGGTCATAGGGCCTGAACTCTGGTTCTGGGCACAGTCCCTTTGCTCTTCATCTCAAGGCTAGTGCTCTACCACTTGAGCCACAACACCACTTCTGGCTTTTTCTGCTTATGTGGTACTGAGGATTGAACCCAGGGCCTCATGCATGCAAGGCAAGTACTCTACCACTGTGCCACCTTCCCAGCTCTGGAAGTCTTTTACTAACATCATGGTTATGAAAGACTGTGTTTGGGAAAAATATGTAGAAAAGCTGTTTCAAATTGTAGTGTAGTTTTCCTCAAAATCTAGAATATGTTTATTGTGGTATGGGTTGAAAGGGTCTAGGTTAACTTAAAATATATCCCAAGTAGTTTCTTTAGTCGTGCTCATAATTATTGTAATGTCTATTGTTTATGTCTTGAATTTACAGTCTCAATATCTCATGAATAATTTCCTTTAACTCAACCAAATCCCCTTCATTATGCTGTTCCTGAACTTGGAAGGACAAATTTTTCTTGTTCGATGTTAAAAGCTGAAAACAGAATTTTCATCTTTTTATCTAATACAAAAAGTCAGTCTGTAGCTGGGTACCAGTGCTCAAGCCTATAATCCTATCTACTCAGGAGGCTGAGATCTGAGGATTATGGTTCAAAGCCAACCCAGGCAGAAAAGTCCTCATGAGATTCTTATTTCCAATTAACCACTCAAAAACTGGAAATGGTACTGTGGCTCCAAGTGGTAGACTGCTAGGCTTGTGCACAAAGAGGTTTGGGGACAGTTCCCAGAACCCAAGTTCAAGCCCCACAACCGACAAAAAAAGACAGTCTGTAAGATAATATATTTGATTTAGTTTCAATAGTCCTATTATAATAATTTGAGAAGGACTCTAGATACAATCACTAATTAGTGCTATATATTAATAAACAACTAAGTGATTTCATTTCTTTAGACCTCTACCTATAACAGAGTTAGATAAAATCAACATCTTTCAAACATTTTGCCATGACTCATATTAAAACCAAATTTAACATGATTATCTACAACATATTACACAAACATATAATTCACTGAAACAAAAGTGTCAAGATATTTGGGGATGGGAAGGTGGTTCAGTGGTAGAGTGTTTGCCTCGCATGTATGAGACTCTGAGTTTGATTCCTCAGCACTACATAATCAGAAAAGGCCAGATGTGGTGCTGTGGCTCAAGTGGTACAGCACTAGCCTTGAGCTGAAGAGCTAAGGGACAGTGCCCAGGCCCAGAGTTCAAACCCCAGACCACAAAAAAAAGAAAGAAAAAAATGTGTCAAGATATTTACCCATATTAAAGTACAAAGCACTGTGATACTTGGTATTCTCTTCTATTTTATCTTTTTCTATTTATTTTTTTCTTCTTTTATTTATTTATTTAGCCAGTCGTGGGGCTTGCTGTCCCTGAGCTTTTTTTCTCAAGTATAGTGCTCTACCACTTAGAGCCACAGTGCCACTTCTGGTTTTCTGGTGGTTAACTGAAGGTAAGAGTCTCACAGACTTCCCTGCCTGGGCTGGCTTTGAACCATGATCCTCAGAACTTAGCCTAAGTAGCTAGGATTACAGGTATAAGGCACTAGCGCCTGGCTCTGTTTTTACTTTTAATAAAATACATCTCGAAATCTACTATATTTATTTCACTACTTACTAGTAGTTTGAGACATGGAGTCTGAAAAACACTGGTTACATTATTTCAGCTCTGACATCTAGAAACATGGTGAATGATCTAAGGAATACTTTCTCTTACAAACTTTCTCATAGGACTATTAGTTTCTAACTGAGAAATCAGGTAACAAATTTTGGACAATTTTCTTCAATAGTTGAGCTGGAGAAAATGGGAAGTTGGATACAGGGTAACAGCAAAGTTAAACAGACATTATAAATTCTAGTGCTGTCTAGTACACTGGGGTGGCTATAATTCATAATTACCTATTATCTACTTTATAAATAACCAGAAAAAGCTGAAAGGTCCAAACATAAATAAAGAGATGGTCAAAACCAAAATTCACTTAAGGTGAGGTGGGTGGAGGAATAGAGGATGGTTACAGTCATAATATTTAATGTGCATGTGTGAAATTGGAACCAGGCATCTTGAGATAGATGTGGTTGGGAAGAATGGCAGGGAATGATGAAAGGGGGTGATATTGGTCAAGATGCCTTGTACTCATACACTGACATGTTGGAACCACTTTGCACAACTATTTAAAGATAATAAAAATAAACAAATGATATAATACAAAGAAAATTCACCATGGCTTATGAAACAGAATTGCTTAACATGTGCAGAAAGAAAAAGAGTTATCAAAGCATTCCAAGACTGTTCTCATTTTAAAGGCCTGCTGGCAAGGCTGGCCTCTGGCTAGCATCGAGAATCCAACCAGTCAGCAGTTCTGTATAATGCTATAAACATTCACAAAATAACAACAGTGACTCATGGTACCTAAACTATTAGTACAAATTAGTACCTAAACTATTAGTACAAATAATGTGGTTATACTGAATATCTTGCTTTCCCCTCATGCTATCCTTTTGTAGTTGCACTTTTTCCTCACTCCTAACCCCTGGCATCCAACACTCTGTTCTTTCCCATTATTGTTTTATCTTTCTGAGAATGTTATTTAAATGGAATAATACATAGGCTGGCTTCTTCAACTGAAGGTTGTTATATATCAGTAGCTTTTTCCTTTATGCTGCTGAATAGTATTCCTTTGTATTGATACACCACAATTTAGTTTACTCATTAATGTGTTTTAGTATTTGGCTTCTTTCCAGCCTTTCATGATTATGAGTAAAGCTGTAGCAAATAATTATATACAAGGTTTTCATACCAGTTTTTCATATTATGCATAGAATTTTGATCACCTAGGGATGGGATTGCCAGGAAACATGATCAAACTATTATCCAAAGCAGCTATATCATTTTGCATTTTTTACTGGCAGTGTATGAGAGTTTCAGTTGTTCTCTATTCCAGACTATATTTGTTATTGTCAGTTTGGATCATAAACGTAAAAACTGCATTCTAAAGAATGAAAAGTTTCACAAGAAATATTATTTAATATAGACTCTGAGAGCAAAATTTAGAAATTAATACACTCATTGAAGGATAGAATATATTTTTAAAACCTACCTTTTCTTGCTGAAACCAAACCTACCAATCCTGAAGCTGTAATCACACCCATTTTAGGAAGAAAATCTCGAGGAGGATTTTTCAAGTAGACATAAGCATCTCAAAAAAAGTTAAAATTAATATATAAATGACTACAGGTGTACATTTTATAATACGGAAAGGTTATAGATTTGTTTAATAATGGTAGGCAATAAGGTACCAGTGAATGGTTGAAATACCCTTCAAAAGATTTATTCAAAATGATTTTAGCAGCAACCTAAAAAATTTATGATAATAGATATTCACTACAAAATAAAATTTCTGTTATAATTGATTTAGCAATTTTTGTCTTTATGATACTAACGCTTATTACTCTTTAAGGAGATATGCTAGAAAACACAGCTTAATATGAATTACTATAAATTTCTGATTGTATAAGTACTATATTCCTATAATAAATAGTTCTGCCTTTATCTGTTCACACTGGTAAGATCTATTTTAAAATGAATATTTTTTGTTAAACTACTCAGTGGGCCTTTCTTGTCATTATTGCTCAATAACCTCAAAGTAGCCACTGATTGTGGTTAAAACCAATGAGCAACATGAGGACTGAGACTAGACAAAAAAGAAATAAACATTAAAAAATAAAATCCAGGGGCTGGGAAGGTGGCTCAGTGGTACAGTGCTTGCCTTGTATGCATGAGGCCCTGGGTTCAATTCCTCAGCACCACATAAGCAGAAGAAACCGGAAGTGGTGCTGTGGCTCAAGTGGTAGAGCACTAGCCTTGAGCTGAGGGACAGCGCCCAGGACCAGAGTTCAGGCCCCACAACAGGAGCCCCCCCCCCCAAAAAAAAAGCCAGAAGTGGCGCTGTGGCTCAAGTGGTAGAGTGCTAGCCTTGAGCTGAAGAGCTGAGGGACAGTACCCAGGTCCAGAGTACAGGCCCCACAACCAACAAAAAATAAAAAATTCAGATATTTTTCTTTTTATATATCTAAATAGTTTCTGATTCCTGAAATACATCTTCTACAATATATTATATATATAATATTTAATACTACTGCTAAATATTGATGAGGGATAGTCAGATGTGGTAGTGTCCACCTTTAATCGTCAGGACTCAAGAGGCTAAAGAGGACAATGGGTTGAGGCCAGCCTGGGTCACATGAAACCTTCCTTGTATCAAAAAAATACTTTTCGTACAACTTAATAGATATTACATTTTAAAAAAAGATTAATGAGAAATATAATATTGAATTAATTTTTAATCCATTACATAATGATTCATATATATAGGCTAACAACTTCATGAAAATTCTTAAAAGTTTTCACTGAGCTGGATGCTAATAGCTCATGCCTGCAATTCTATCAACTTAGGAGGATGAGTTCTAAGGACTGTGGTTAAAAGCCAGTCCATGTAGGAAAGCATACAAGATTTATCTCCAATTAACTACCAAAAAGCTAGAAGTGGAGGTATGGCTCAAGTGGAAGAATGATAGCCTTGTGCAAAAAAGCTTATGGGCAGTGAAAATGCCCTGAGTTCAAGCCCCAGGACCAGTATACACAAAAGAAGATTTTCACCGATCTTTGTGTCCCACATACATATTTGTTTTGACAACTAGGGTAGGCCTAGAATATTGAAAGATATATCAGATGCCAAACACCCTTAACAAACTAGAGAATCAAATATAATTTCTTTCCAACTGTAAGCATTCTGAGGTAAATTTATTATATAATTTCTGAGGTGGTTGGTTATCATTGGTAGCAAAAACAGTGTTATTTTTAATAGAAAATAACTAATTAAAAGTGCTTAGAATCAGTGGAGACATTTCTCTGATACATTCTTTACAAGTATAGAATATGGGGCTGGGAAGGTAGCTCAGTGGTAGAGCGTTTACCTTGCATGCCTGAGGCCCTGGGTTCGATTCCTCAGCACCACATAAGCAAAAAAAAAAAAGCTGGAAGGCTCAAGTGGTAGAGCGATAGCCTGGAGCCGAAGAGCTGAGGGACAGCGTCCAGGCCCAGAGTTCAGGCCCCACGACCAGACCCTCCCCCCCAAAAAAAAGTATAGAATATGAACTATAGAGTTAAAACACACCTCAGTTTGAATCTAGGCACTGGTACTTACTAGCTATGCTACTTAACCTTTCCAGCCCTCAGTTTCCACATGTGTAATATGGAAATACTGGAATTATGATAGCAATAATCACAGAATTATGATAAAATTAAATGATATAAACTATATAAAGTGCTCTGTACAATGCCTTAGCACACAATAATTGCAAAATTGTAGATAACATTGTTTTATTATTATCAATACACTACAAAGTACTTTCCGAGTTTGTTAAAAAAAAAAAAAAAAAGCCTAGTAATGAATAATAGACCATACTTATTTTTCTGACACTCAAGTATTGCAATTTTAAAACATAAGAGAACATTTTTAATTATGGTTGGTTCATTATGGTTATGGTTGGTTCACCTACCTTTCCCAAATTGTACTGTGTCCATTATTCCATTTTTCATGAAAATATAAACATCCTAAGTGAAAAGAAAGAGGGGAATGGGGAGAAAAATGACATCTATGACATCTATGTTTTTGAAGCTGTGGATAATTTTATTCCAAGATTATATTAAAAAGTTGACTTAGCATTATACCCAAATCCAAATAGCATTTATTCACAACTAGCTTAACTTGGCTTCCTTTTATTTCTTGCTTTTTATTCCACTTAACATGAATAATACTTGTTTACTGTTTTTCTCATATAAGTGGGTAAAGTAATGACTATGAAGTAACCAAATCAGCTCACAGAAAGCATATTGAAAAAAGCATAAAGATTTATCATCTCATTTTATAATAGATTAGAAAAAGGATTGGAATTTAAATAAACCATGAAGGGAGGTATACATCAGTACAGAAGCATCATGTGATTAATAAACATACAAAAGCAGCAACATAATGATTTTTGGAGAAAAAAACCGACACAAAATAGAAAAAAAGTTTTATCTTCTAACTATGTCTTAGTGTGCAATTCGGGTGAGAAAAAACCCTGAATAAGACATTTATCTCAGGATAGAAATTGTCCTACACAGTCTAGTATCCACGTTGGTTTTAAATAGGAATGTAAATCAGGATTATATTAATCCTTTAGAGGGATTAAAGGTTTAAATCAAATCTTTCCATTTACCTGTTTCTAACCAATTTATTTTAACCCAAGACAGTTATATTTATTAAGCAACAGGTATCATCACACATAAGAAAAAAAAATGTCACAAAACAACTTAATCAACAACATGCTATATTCTATTGTATGAACAAGAAAACACAATCAAAACATATGGTCTCCTCTGAACTATCTGCTATAAACTGACTTTTTTGCTTTTTATACTCTTTTGTCGCTGTTTTTGATTTCTGTACCTTTTGTCTTGTATGTAAGTTTATCTGTTTGGGGGAGGGGTGTGGGAAGAAAGAAATGGTAGCACAAAGGGTAAACTAATTCAGCAGTGTTACTCACTACATACTATGTTGAAAATCAACTATACAAATTGTGGGGGAGGGGGTCAGGAGGGAAAAACTGGGAGAAAACGAAGGAAGAGGTGATACTGTTCAAAAAGAAATGTACTCAGCCGGCCCTGGTGGCTCAGGCCTGTAATCCTAGCTACTCAGGAGGCTGAGATCTGAGGATCACGGTTCAAAGCCAGCTTGGGCAGGGAAGTCCATTAGACTCTTATCTCCAATTAACCACTCAGAAAACTGGAAGTGGTGCTGTGGCTCAAGTGGTAGAGCACCAGCCTTGAGCTGAAGAGCTGAGGGGCAGTGCCCAAAGCCCAGAGTTCAAGCCCCACATGGACAAACAAACAAAAAAAGAAATGTACTCATATCTGACTTATGTAACTGTAATCTCTCTGTACATCATCTCTACAATAGCAATAAAAAACTAAAATCAATAAAGATTTACAAAGCAGAAAACAGACATCATTAAATTAGATGGCAAAGAAATAGATTATTGCTATTGGGATTCCTTGGTTTAGTAATTTTGTCTCTTAGTTTAATGATTAGAGATGCAGAAATTTGTCCTGGGTTTAAAGCTATAAAAACAAGCATAGTATTTAATTACCACTTACATATTTATTTTGAGGGATTATCTTGAGAAATTTCTACTTTTGAAATTAAAATACCTATTTAATCTGGGGAAAAATTCCTTAGCGTCAGTTAGGAATTTATTTTCACCACCAGGGGGCAATGCTACCTAAGTAGTAAAACACTAAAGCGTAGGAACATGGATTGAATGTCTTAGTTTCAGGTAGAATGTAATTTAAGGCTGACATACGTTTTTAAGGAATAGATTATGTTTTTAGAAGAAATTAGAGAGGAAAAGTTGTTTACACTGAAGCTGAAATGCATCCGAAAGTGCCCTTCAACCTCTTTGTTTCAGGATATTAACAGAAGAAAATGTTCTTTCAGTCTTAAATTGGGTGACAGTTACAATAGCAATTTAAAGATCTCTCAGGAACAATGATTTCCCTGAAGACACATCTGAGAACACTACAGAAAATTAGGTCTCGGAGGACTTAAGTCTGACTCATGTAGCTACTGGCATATAGCCTGAGGAGCATGATTCAGACCATAATTAGGATATTTTCCTCAGAGATCAAACCATTAAGGGAGTGTAGAACAACCAGTACTATTAGAATTGCATGACAATCATGAATTTTAAAAATACAACACAATGTATTCATCAAATGTTCAAAGAATCATCTAGAATAACCAGAGCTCGTTGATTTGTTGCTTTTACCTACAGATATTATTTTTCATAGACTCCTTAGAACTTTATTTTACATAAGATTGGATTAGGGCTCACAATCAAGTCTGTATTTGGGGGAAAAACTTGGATCATTGCAATCATAAAAACACTGCTATTGATATTATCACTAAGATAAATTAGAGTATATGCTGACACAAGTAAGCTTAGGTGATGATAATGAAGTGTCAGTATGCTATCAGCTTATTCCCTTGCCTTTGCAAATACTGACTGAAGTCTAAAGTCTGGTGGATTCTACTTTGCTCAAAAGCTGTTTCTAGTTAAAATGGTCTTCTGAGATAACCCAAGAAGGGGACAATATTTTGCTGAGCCACATAAGAAATAATTGACAAGTTACCTCAAAAACTCTCTGCAGAGGACAAAAAGTGATTTGTACATACTAAGTGGCAAAAAACTTGCTAAACCACATTATGCAGCAGCAATATAATAAGTTAAACATCATTACCAATTCTTTGCTCCTACTGAAAGGTAACATCTAGTGCCCCTACCTTAAAATCAGGATGATTTTAGCGATTTGATTTTAAATAAAAATGCTATACAAGTGCTTGTTGATTTGACATTTGAAGATGGATGAGAAGCTCAGCAAATTCTACATCCAGGGCTTCTTAATCATTGATTTCTTAAGAGCCTTGAACAGCGTATGTAACTTATCTACCTTGAAGCCACTATATGTGAGATCATGTGTGGCTATTTTTGTCAATAGTTCCAGCTGAGTCCAGCCTTCCAGTCATCCTTGACAAGGTTCTAGAAAAAGCAAATAAAGCTTCCCTGGACTAAATAGAGTAACCATCTTGCCAAGTACATAACATGGAGTATCTACTGTTAATATTACATGCAATGGAAGGTTCACCTGTCTGAATTCTGCTCATATTCCTAATGCAGTGTCATGAGACATAATATAATCACTGTTGTTTCAAGCCATTAAATGCATGGGTAGTTTTTTGAATCAATGAATAGGTTACTAGAACAATAAGAAATCTCTCTGATCAAGCACTATTAGTCAAGATGCATTGTACTCATAAATTGTCATGTTGAATTGAAACCACTTTGCAACTATTTGAAGATACTTTTTAAAATACATTTTTATTGTAAAAATACTGTACAGAGGGGTTAAAATTACATGAAAAAGGTAATGAGTACATTTCCTATCAAGCATTGTTACCTCCTCCTTTGTTTTTCCCCTACCATCCCTTCCCTCCTACTTGCACAATTACACTCCCTCCCTCCCCACCTAAATTATAAAGTTCATTTTTCAATATAATGTCCTGAGCATCTCACTGTTACAATGGGTCAATCTGTATCCTTATTTAAGCATTTTGTTTTTTCCCTTCCCCTCCCCAAATTAGATTAAGTGTATATACAAGATGCAGGGTACCAACATCAAATACAGTGAAAACAAGGGTTATACTGTAGGGGAGGAACATACAAAGAAAATCACATGGTACATTATAAATACGTCAGAAACAACAGAAGGAAAGAAAAAACCACTTGTGTCTCTATCTTGGGGTTCATTTCCCTTAACATCATCTTATCTGGTCATATGTACACAGCTTTTGACATTTTCTGCTTGCCCCAGACATATATCTTCATTTTTTAAAAGTATCTTCATGGAAACATAGGTCCCATGAAGATACTTTTAAAACATGAAGAATAAAAGAAAAATAAAAACAAATAAGAGACTTACCTTGCACCAGCCAAAGTAAGAAAGTGTTGTAGTACGGATGGATGCAAAGCCCATTTGTAAATAACCAGGTTGTTCATGAACATATTTAGACTGAAGAGGTGGTGCAGTATATATAGGGAGCTAGAGACAAGAAAAATTCAAGTCAAAAATACAAAACACACTGTCTTTCCCAGCAGTTTGGCAGAACAGGAATTACCATCAACCCAATAAATGTGCTGATAAAATCTTAAATTTCAGGAAGATGTAGTGAACTGGTTAGAAATATTATTATGAGGCCATAAAATCAGTGACACCACATGTGGTGTGAGCCAGTAGTTTTAATCCTAGCTATAGAGAAATCATCATTCTTGTGTACCCAAAGATATGCAGAATAATATTCAAGGAAAAACTTTAATTACAAAAATCCAGAAACAAATCAAATGTCTACCAACAGGAGAATGGATAAACTGGGTTATATCCCTGCAGTGGAGTATTATGAATTAGGGGAAATATAAAAATTATAGCAACATGGAAAAATGTGGGTGAATTTCTGGAATATAAGGTTAAGCAAAGAAAGTAAAATACAGAAAATTGCATACAAGTATGTTTTCATCAACAAACAATTCAAGTATATAAAACTAAAAGTCCCAGGTTGCTTAGCAACATAAACAAGATAAAATTATAAAGTTAAAAAGGAAATAACAAGCCGGGCGCTGGTGGCTCACGCCTATAATCCTAGCTACTCAGGAGGCTGAGATCTGAGGATCGAGGTTCAAAGCCAGCCCGGGCAGGAGAGACCATGAGACTCCTATCTCCAATAAACCACCAGAAAACCGGAAGTGGCGCTGTAGCTCAAGTGGTAGAGCACTCGCCTTGAGCTGAAGAGCTGAGGGACAGCGCCCAGGCCCAGAGTTCAAGCCCCACGACCGACAAAAAAAAAAAAAAGGAAATAACATATTAGAACAATGGTCCTTAGAATGGAATAGAATGGGAACACAAGAGATTTCATTCTGTTTTTCTTTTCACTTAAAAAGATACCTGGTTGTTTATCATTGTATTACTATTGTTATTTGCATTTTCACATATCCAATAAACATTTTTGACTGTAGTTAATATTTTAGAAAACACAAAAGCATTATGAAAAATAATCAGGTGGACTCATTTATTTAAGCATTGTTTTCCTTTCTGTTATGCTCAGGTATAGCATATTTCTAAGTTTGATAAAGACATACTTGAGAATCAAGGTAACAGTTAAGAATATGTAGTATTCTAAGACAGGCACTGGTAGCTCACAACTATAATACAAGCTACACAGGAGGCTAAGATCTGATCATTGTGGCTCAAAGCCAGCCAAAGCAGCAATTTATCTTATCACCAATTAACCATCAAAAAGTTGGAAATAGAGCTATGGCTCAAATGGTACAGTGCAAGCTTTGAGCAAAAAAGGTAAGGGACAGTGCCTGGGCTCTGAGTTCAACCTCCAATACTGGCAAAAACAAAAAAAAAACTGTATTCTTGAAATATATTAAGAAATTGGATGTAAGATATTTACAGCACAAAAAACTATATGATTATATGAGGTAAAGCAGATTTTACCTAGATTTAGTCAATCCACAAAGTATATATACACCTCAAAACACTGTGTTGTATAAAGTAAATACATAAATTTTACCCATTCATTTAAGAAAAAATAAGTTAAATCTAAGACAGTTATCGGTGTGGTAAAACTTTTCAGTTGCATGTTTCTCATTTTGTTTGGTTATTTATTTACTTATTTATTTATTGTTTCTCATTTTGGATTAATGCTTAGATATAAATTCACCCATTTGGCAACTCTATGTAATTAGGAATAGCCATACATTCATATACTATATTAAAAGTGATATACACACAGAAAAAAAACATATGATGTCTGGTAGGTCGTGAAGTTTTCTCTCCTATAAGACAGCCTATATTAGGGATAAATAATTTTTTTTAAAAGCTTGTCCATCATGTCATCAGTGTGTCCATTCTTTATATCTCAATTTCAAGCTTTATCATTAAGTGTTTCTCTTAATTGTCGTGCTGGGGAATCAAACTTGGGACTTGTCCCTGCTAAGCAAGTGCCCTATCACTGAGTCATATCCCCAGCCCCTTGTGTTTTATTTTTTAATACATTTTTATAGTAAAAATACTGCACAGAGGCGTTACAGTTACACGAACAAGGTAATGAGTACATTTCCTACCAAGCACTGTTACCTTCTCCTTTGTTTCCCCTACCCTCTTTTCCCTCTCACCTCCACAATTACACTCCCCCCTACCCCCCCCCCCCACAGCCTAAATTGTAAAGTTCATTTTTCAACATAGTGTCTTGTTCATCTCATTGTTACAATGGATCAAACTGTATCCCTATTTAAGCATTTTGTTTTTTCCCTTCCCCTCCCCAAATTAGAGAAGTGTATATATAAGATGCAGGGCACCAACATGAAATACAGGCATTATACCAGGCATTGTACCATGGGAGAGGAACATACAAAGCAACAAAAAAAAAATCACATGGTACATTATAAATATGTTAAAAACAATAACAAGAAAGAAAAAAAACATTTGTGTCCCTATCTTGGTGTTCATTTTACTTAACATCATCTTATCTGGTCATATGTACATAGCTTTTGACCTTTTCTGCTTGTCCTAGACATATACTAGCTATTGCAAATAAGGGAAACCATAGGACCTATGTTTCTTTGGGCCTGGCTTACTTCACTTAATATAATTTTTTCCAAGTCTTTCCGTTTTCTAATAAATGGGCAATGACATTCTTTTTGACAGAGGCACAGAATCCATTGTGTGTGTGTGTGTGTGTGTGTGTGTGTGTGTGTGTGTGTGTGTGTGTGTGTGTGTGTGTGTGTGTGTGTGTGTGTATCATAGTTTCTTGATCCATTCATCTATGGAGGGGCATCTGGGTTGGTTCTATATCTTAGCTATGGCAAATAATGCTGCAATAAACATAGTTGTGTTGTTAACTTTAGCATGGTCTTGTTTGTGATCATTTGGGTAAATGTCCAAAAGTGGGATTGCTGTGTTATAGGTGAGGTCTATGTGGAGTTTTTTGAGGAAGCTCCATACTGCTTTCCAAAGTGGTTGAACAAGTTTACACTCCCACTAACAATGCATTAGGGTTCCCTTCTGGCCACATCCCCTCCAGCATCTGTTGTTATTAGAGTTCTTGATTATAGCCATTCTAACTGGGGTGGGGTGGTATCTCAATGTTATTTTGATTTGCATTTTTTATGGCTAGAGAGGTTGCGCATTTCTTCATATGTCTATTGGCCATTCTTAGTTCCTCTTCAGAGAAATTTCTCTGTAAGTTTTTAGCCCACTTATTTATCGGGCAGTTGCTTCTTTGACAATTTGTTGTTGGGGGATTTAATTTTTTGAGTTCCACGCATATTTTAGATATGAGACCCTTGTCTGTTGTATGGCTAGTGAAGATCTTCTCCAATCTGTGGATTTTCTATTGATCTTGTTAGCTATGTCCTTTGCCATGGAGAAGCTCTGCAGCTTCATGCAATCCCATTTGTCCAACCTTTCTTTGATTTGTTGTATTTCTGGGTCTCTACTGAGAAAATTTTGGCCTGTGCCAAGGAGACCAGAGTTTCTCCAATTCCTTCCTGTAATGTTTTCAGGGTGTCTGCTTTGTCTTCGAGGACAATTTGATCCATTTGGAGTTGATTCTGGTGCAGGGTGATATATAAGGATCTAGCTTTACTTTTCTTTTTTCTTTTTTTGGGGGGGGTCCAGTTTTGGGGCCTGAACTCTAGGCCTGGGTGCTGTCCCTCAGCTCTTCAGCTCAAGGCTAGCGCTCTACCACTTGAGCCACAGCACCACTTCTGGCTTTTTTCTTTTTGCTTATGTGGTGCTGAGGAATCGAACCCAGGGCCTAAGGCATGCAAGGCAAGCGCTCTACAACTGAGCCACCTTCCCAGTCCCTTAGCTTTAGTTTTCTACAGGAATTTAACCAATTTTGCCAGCACCATTTACGGAGGCTGTCTTTCTTCCATTCTATTTTTTAGCTCCATTATCGAAGATTAGGTGGCTATAGGTCTGTGGGTTCATTCCGGGTTTTTCAATTATATTCCATTGGTCCTGAGGTCCCTTCTTGTACCAGTACCAAGCTGTTTTGATTTAGTATGGCTTTGTAGTAGAGTTTGAAATTTGGTATTGATATTCTTCCAGCACTTCTTTCTGTTAAGGATCATTTTTGCTATTTGGGGTCTTTTATTGTTTCATATGAATTTTTGGATTGTTTCTTCTATTTCATTGAAAAATGAGGTTGGAATATTGATAGGTATTGCATTGAATTTGTAGATAGCCTTGGGAAGTATTGCCATTTTCACAATGTTGATCCTTCCAATCCAGAACATTAGAGGTTTTTCCACTTCCTAAGTTCTGCTTTGATTTCCTTTTCCAGGATTTTAAAGTTTTCATCATAGAGCTCCTGCACTTCTTTAGTTAATTCCTAGGTATTTAATTTTTTGTGGGGTTATTACAAAGGGAGTTGCTTTCCTGAATTCCCCTTGTGTTTTGAGACATGATCGATGTATTCTAGGCTGTCTTTGAATTAGCAATCCTGTCTCAGCTTCCTCTGTGCTGGGATTAGTGTGTACCACAATGCTCAATTCTTATATACTTTTATTCTTTCTTCTATCCCACACGAATCTTCTGATTCTGAATTTGTGTCCCATTATACATTAGATTACAAGTTTTTAAAGAAGTTCTTTATATGTGGCCTATTATAAACAAAATTATTCACATGCATTTTTAGGAAGACTATCTAAAGCTTTATCAGATTCACCAAGAGGTCAGAATGGTTAAGAACCAATGCTTTAAACTATTTTCTTTCTAAGGCATGGACATTCAAGCATAGTTATTTATTGTAAAAGGATATCAATTCTCCTGTGACTATTTTAGGAACCAGCACATGGGATGTTACCATAGTCTCCATTGGCAGAAGAGCATTCTCACTAAGGACTGGAGGCTTTCAACTTAAATGCCACTTACTGTATAAATGCAATCTGTCTGTACTTACAAATTATGATTCTGTTAGGTATAAAAGCCTCATTTAGAATTAAATTGAACCAAAGTAACTACAATTCTTAAAT